AGGCCGGAGCGCTGAACGCCCAAGCGGCCGGCCCTAGCCCCATCCCCGGCACCGCACGTCCGCCGGGGCCCGGAGGATCCTCCGTCCGGGCCGAGGTGAAATCTGGAGGGAATTTAGCTGGGAAAAAACTGGCAAACCCCTACTAAGATATTTTGCAAGGCGCAGCTTTCCAAAGGCTTATAGCTTGTCCAAGTTTTGGTCGATTCGTCATCAAGATGGCAAAGCTCACCCTTCAGATATCAGGTTACAATCCCAAAGCATGGTGACATTAGACTTCTTTTTCCACCGAAAACACCGCTCGAATTATTTAACAGGGAGAAAAGATTCCTCCTTCTAGTCCATGGTTGAAAGAAACAGGCTTTTCAGAGTTCAAAATCACCTTAAAACAGGATTTTTGCTGTGGAAGGCGTTGGGCAACTTTTATAATAGGCGCAACAGTCCTGCCTGCAGTATTCATGGAAATAAGAAGGGCAGGGTGGTGTGTGCTGGTTATTGAGATAAACGTCTGGAAGGAAAGTTCAATCTAGGTGGTTTCTGTGTCATAAGAAATCTTAATAACAGGCACTGTCTAAGAAACTGTGCGTTAGTGAACAGTGAGTTCAGAGTCCACTTGAAAACGCTGCCTATACGTGTGTGTTTTTCCAGTAACTTTGGGCCGATACCAGCCAGCTGTTACCAAGCAGTCATCCCAACTGCAGAATTACCTTCCAGTGAAACAGGTAGCTGGAAGAGGGGAGAGACGCGACTGTCCCGGCTGGGAAAGAAGAGGCGGCATTGTACTTTTGGCACTTCTGGTATCAAAACAAATCTGACAGGCAATTGGCTTGCTAATAAGAGCAATTAAGCAGTATGGAGGGGGTTCGTTTTATCAGGATTTATTTGTAAAATTGCAGAATATTTTATGAAGCTTGTTTCATGCTAATGAGATGATTGGGAGTTTTGTAGAGGGGAGTGTCAGGGAAAACTTTTTGTTCTTTCTTGGCTCAGAAAACATGCGCTATCTTTTCAGTGTGAAGGAATTAATGTGGCTCCTCCTGTTCGTTGTTCATTATTATTTACGTTGCGAACCGTTCACCTCCGAGACCTCTTGTGTGGCTGCTCCCCTCTGAGACCCTCCCCATTGGGTCAGATGAAGGATACAGCAAAGCCGTTCAGAGTACAGCTCTTGCTGAAGAATGCATTGAAAAATCAGTCAAGATCAGAGAAAAATTACCTGTCCTCCTTGACCAGTAAAGTCTGCAAATGCTGTAGCTCCGCATTCGCAGTTGTCCCCGGAGTAGTGGGGAAGTTGTAGGAGGTGTCGAGATGCCACAGAGAGATTTCCTTTGATTTCTGCACTGGCTGGTGCTCCACTGCTGAGGAATAGGGGGCCTCTAGGCCTGATTCGGGTCTTTTCCTGCCATCTTCTGAGAGCTGCATGTTGATGAAATTCTTTAGGGACTTCAGCAAGTTATTTGTTGGGCATGATTTCCACTGAAAGAAAATGTGTTGCAGGGAATATTACACTTGGATATTAATTTGGAGATCACTGTGAAGAGACAGGGCATCCATAAGGCGTTTTTGAGTCATTTCTGCGCAGCAGTTGAGGAATGGGAGCACTTGGTGAAATAAAGCATAGACTGCACCTCTTGTAAACCATTCTGTGAAGTAAGTTGTAAACGAGCAGAGTGAACTCTTGAGGGCGCGGACAAGGGCAACAAGAAAAAAAGAAAAGGACATTATGCAGGTCATGGACTTACCAGAGAGCACAGCAGGAAGAGGACTGCAAAAATACTGTTGGAACGATCAGATCAATATTGACCTACATAGGAAAAGGGAAAGGAGAGTGAGAGCCTTTATATGAAAGGAAGCAGAGAAACCAGGAGAGAGAGGAGCAGGCAGCCATGTGGATTAGGGTTAGGTTATTTTTCAGGAAAAGAAAACTCCATCTAGTGAGAATCATAAAAGGTTGTAAAATCCAAGAGTCTAAGATTGGCAGGGCTTTGATAAATATTAACTGGCTTGCACGCTTTTAAAGGCTAAATAAAAGGCTGCCAGTAAGGTCCTGAAGGAAGTCAGTAAGAGCCTTTACAGAGATTTAAATGGCTTTAGGTCAGGTCTCAGCGAGTGCTTTGCAAAGGGCTACTCATTTGGTGATTAAACTGGTGGCTGGAACCGGGGATCAAATATTCCCGTGTGCGTACATTGGCTGAGGACTTGTGTGGCAGTGTTAAACACGAGCTTTCTGCTCTAATGAGAGGGTAACAGCAGGAGAGCTGCTGGTGACTTTGAAGATGCTCTGCCCGCAGGACATGCTGAGATGCTCAGAGGTGAATCCTGCTGCAAAGGAGGCAGTGAGACCCCGCGCAGGCTCGACAGATGTCGGCGAGCGCAGGGGGGGCCCGCACGGGAGACGGGACGGAGGAGCCCCCCGCCAAGGCCAGCGAAGAGAGCTACTTCAGCTCACCTCTATAAATAAAAGTTTTGTCTGTTACATTTTTGCACTTTGCCCCCTCTCCATAATTTATCGTTTGCATGATAGCCCTTCTCGCTTGTC